TCCATTTTTGTATAGAACTTTTTTGGACCATCGAGGGTTTTGTATACATAGTACACTGCCAGCTTGTTTCTTCTGGTGCTCTTCTTGCTTTTCTCTTACTAATACTATGCACTAACAGCGTGCGGCAAGGCTGCGACGTATAGCAGTAATGGTTCTCTAGACTGGGGGCTAGCGAGGGTTGTCAGGTTATGTAGGTAGGCTTTTAGGTCATCAAAGGCCTTTTGTTGAATGGGTCCCCAGCTGAATGGGTCTGTGTTCTTTAGTACTTCGAAGAAAGGTAGCCCTCGCTCGGCTGACCTTGAAATGAATCTGTTCAGTGTTGTAAGTCTTCCTATGAGCCTTTGTGCTAGCTTCCATGAAGTCGGAGGCTCTATATTGAGGATTGCATCAATTTTTTTCTAGATTGGCTTCAATTCCTCTTGTTGAGACAAGGCAACCGAGTAGTTTACCCTTGCTTACACCAAATATGCACTTTTCGGGGTTTAATTTGAGCCCTGTGTTGCGGAGGTTGGTGAATGCTCTTTTGAGGTCTTTGATGTGATTTTGTTTGAGCTTGCTCTGCACGACAATGTCGTCCACATATGTGGAGATTGCTTTGTCCTCTTTGAACACTTTGGCGGTCATGCGGCGAAGGTTGACCCTATGTTCCGAAGCCCCTCTGCCATTCTTCTAAAGCAGTATGTTCCAAAGGGTGTGATGAAACTTATCTTTTCCTCGTCTTCTTCGTTCATCCAGATCTGGTGATAGCTCAAGAAACAATCAAGAATTGATAGGAGCTTGCGTGGCGGCTACTAAGTCTATGAGGGTACTGATTCTTAGCAGAGGAAAAATCATCTTTTGGGCATGCTTTGTTCAGGCTTGTGAAATCGACGCACATTCTCCACTTGCCATTTTTCTTTTGGACTAACATGACGTTTGATAACCAAGTTGGGTATTTGACTGGCCAGATGACCCCCACATCGAGCAGGAGCTGGACCTCTGCCTTGGCTGCTTGCTTTCTTTCTTCAGACATTTTGTGGAGTTTTTGTTTGATCGGGGGGTGGTTTTTGTTCATGTCCAAGATGTGTTCAATAATTGATCTGTTGACCCCTCGTAGGTCTTCAGCAGACCGGGCGAATATGTCGTTGTTATCGCGCGGCAACTGAATGAGTTCGCTCTCAATTTTGCTTTCTAGTTTAGCGAAGATGATGACCTGCTTGCTGGTGTTACCCTTGAACAGTGTAACTTTCTTGGTTTCTTCTGCTGGCTTCGCTTGGGCTTGCTGTTCTGGTTCATCTGACAAGGGTTCCTTCTCTTTTGGCTTTTCTTTGTCGAGGTTGTGCACATTTTTTTGTCCTAGTGTAGCTATTTCTTCTGCTATTCTGGCGAGGTCTTGATCGCCATACACGGTGATGACGCCTTTGGCGGAGGGTAGCTTCATACAGAGATAACCTGGGTGAAGGACTGCACTAAATACGTTTGTGACCCCTTGACCAAATATTGCATTGTAGTTGTAGAGCATGTCAACCACATCGAAGGTTATGTGTTCTGTTCTGTTGTTGTATTGATCACCGAAGGTTACCGGGAGTGTGATTTTGCCTATGGCCTTCACTTGCTTGCCTCTGAACCGGTATAATGGGCATCCTACCGGTTGTAGGAGATTTATGTCAAGCTTCATGTTGTCGAAGGTTGATGTGAATAGGATGTTGGCAGAGCTGCCTCTATCGACTAGGATTCTTGTTACTGCCCAACCAGCTAGGTTTGTCTCAATGACCATTGCGTCAGTGTGAGGGTAATCTTTTAGTTTGGCGCTGTCGATGGTTATTGGGATTTGAGACCATTGCGAATTCTTGCGGGGTCCTTCGGCAGCGAGGTGGTGCACCCGCCTCATATGCTCTTTGTGTTGCCTCTTGTTGCCATGGTCCTCATTGGATCCTCCGGTGATTGCGAGTATCACGCCGAAGGTTGCGGTTGGATTGTTTATTGTGGTTTGGTTGGTCTGGTTCACGGGCTCTGTTTTTACTTGTTGTTGCTGTGGCTGGGTTGGAGGTGGTGGGGTTGGCGGTGGTAAGGATGGATGCTAGGCATGCATTTGTGGCATAGTGGGAGGATGGGGTACTGTGTATGGATGGTTGTTGGTACGATTGTTGTAGCTGTAAGATGGTTGGGGTTGTCGTAGGTGTTGTAGTGGTGGTAAGGAGGGTTGTAGCTTGTGAAGGTCTGGTATTGTTGGGGGTGTTGTTGCGAGGGTATGCCGTAGTTTATAGGTGTGTAATGGTTTGTGCTAGCTACGGGGGTTGGCTGTCTTCTTGTGCAGTTGACGGGCTTCGGCGGGCCTTAGGCTACAGCTTGCTGGGCCTCTTGGTATTCTTTCCCTTCATAAAACAAACACACTATTTGGTCGTGTGTCCCTTTCCTAGCCCGCAAAAGTGGCAATAAACCTTCACCAGGCCTCTTTGGTTGGGTCTGTTCTGCACGTTGGTTCTGTTGTCATTCTGACTAGCAGCGGGGGTTGATTGAGGTCTTTGATTTGTTGTTGTTTTGCTATTGCGGAGGTGCGGATTCTATTGCATTCACGTTGATTGCCTCATTGTGAGGGTATTGATTGTGCTGTGGTGGACTCGGGGGTGGGCGCACCTGAGGTCGGAGAGCGTCAATTTTGTGCGATGTACCGTGTCTGATCTGATGTACTTCTTCATGACTTCGTGCAGTTGTGCGATGGTTTTCGATGGCTTTCTAGCGAGCCTAGAGGAGCACGACCCTGGCCTTACCCCGTTGACTGCTGCGAGGATCACTGTATCGTTTGTTATATCTGGGGTTCTGGCTCTAAGTTGAACGAACCTCCGCCAGAAATCCCGTAGAGGTTCTCGCTCGGCTTGAGTTAAAGCGAACAGTTCCATTGGATTGTTTGCTGAGGAGCTAACACCTTTGAAGTGGTTGCATAGTTTTTCACGCAGACTGCCCTCAGGAGTATATCAAACCTGAGGGAAGATTGTTGTACCAGCTTTGGGCGATGTCTCGCACTATGATGATGAAGGATTTTGCCATGGTGTATTCGTCCCCCTGCCGCTGCTACTGCCGCTTCATAACAAATTACAAACTGGCGAGGGTCCACACTCCCATAGTACCTTGGTAATTTTTGTGGTTTGTATTCGAGTGGCTAGTTTTTGGTTTGCAGAATTTGGGTTAACGGGGATTTTGGATCGTGAGACATTGGTGGGGGTTGATTTCTGGTGTGGTTGTATGACTGGAGGAATATATTCTGGGTAGATTTGGTGGAGGTAAGGGGGTGGTGATGGAGGTGGTGGTGGTGGGGGTGGCGGATTGGGATGAAGCGGGGTGCGTTTGGCTGAAGCGGGGGTGGCAAGTTGTGCCGCTCAGGTAGGTAGTTTAGGTCAACTTCGATCGTGGCCAGGTACTCATCCATTCGTCTGAGTTGTTCCCTGGCTTCGTCTGCCTTTTGCCTGATCACTTGTAGGCGTGCTTGCCTCTGGTGAGCTTCGACCCTGCGCCTTTTCTCTTGAGTTCTTCGTGCATCTGGTTAAGGGCCTCGAGGCCCCTCGCCTCCACGTCCTCGTCAGTCTTCCTGCGATACATAGCCGGCTCCGTCCATCATGGATGGGCTAGGTTGATAGCCGACCCAGGCCCCGGCCAGGGCGGAGTTTCATCTGGACCGTGTTGGTCTCCCGCTAGTTGGGCGGTTGGTTGGTTGGAGTACCGGGCTGCACTTCCTCCAGCTGCGGAGGTCCCCGCGGCCATTTCGGACCCTCACGGCGGTTGCGGATCCCGGTGAGTGTTTCTTCTTGTTGTCGCCATGGTTTTGGAAAGTGGCGGACTAGGGTCCCCACGGATGGCGCCAACTGTGGGGTCACTCCTTGTCTCTCACCCTTGCTTGAGCACGCGGGGAGAGACCGAGGGTTTCCCACAGTGATGAGAGTGGGATAACTTGCGACGGGTAGCGAAGGTAGGGGAGCAATGAAAATGCGGATTAAATGCCCCTTAGTTCATCCAAAAAGATCCCCCTGTCTTACATGAGCCACCCGGGTATTTATAGGTCACACTTGGGTGCACGGTGAAATTACAGTAGGGTAAGGCCCCAAAAGAAAAAACATAACGTAGTGAGGAAGGGTACGGTCGTAATCTTCATACTCCGGCCACCAACTCCCCGGGCCCGCCTCTCTGGTCGGGGCGTCTCCTCTACCGGCGTGGTCCCCCTCCCCGGCGGGCGCCAGACCTCCGCGTACTCACAGCGAGGGTCCGCTCGTCGTCGTCGTCGAGGCTCCCCTCTCCCCCGCTCCACGGGTACGGTGGACCTCGAGGTACCTGCCCAAGCATGAAGACACAACTCGACGGTTGGAACATACCCTCGCCGGCGAGGGTCGACGCCCGTTGCGAGGTAGTTAGTTGAGACAGCATTGAGCCGAAGGCCAAGGAAGGAGCTGGACCGGGGGAGACTCCCCCAACAGATTGCTTTATTTACACCAACAAAATTGAATTAATTAGCTGGGGAAATTAATAACAAATAATCTCAGCGCAGGCACAAGGAAACAAAATGCGGCAGGTCGTCCTTGGTTGCCTAGTCCCACAGTCCACAGGGTAGTAGGCGGCTAGGCGCAGGCACGGCCGCACGGGCGGTGCGGCTGCTGCTGCCTCATATACACGGGCACCTCGCCTCCTCCTCTCCCTCCCTCCCCACACGAGTACACGACGCCTCCGGCCAGCGCGACTCCAGCCGCGCCGCGCACACTGCACGCCTCGCCGGCTCGCCCCACGACACCTAACCAACCACCACTTGCCGGTCGCCATGCACCACCCAGCGTCGTCCTCCCCGGCCGCCGCCGCCTCCGCGTCGCTCTGACGTTGTGGGGGCTAGAGCTATACAGGTAGCCCGTCGTCTCGTCTCTCCCGGCCTGTGCCACTCAGTGCGACAGCGAACAGCCGGTACATCGGCGGGCGCACGCCGTCGATAGCAGCCGACGACCGCAGCAGGGATCGGTCATCGGTCGATCCGATTCCGATCCATGGGGGTTCACCGGCTGAAGAAGCAGCACTCGGCGCCGTCGCTGGGCGGCAGCGGGTCCGGGTCCGGGTCCGGGTCGGCGTCGATGCCGCCCAAGGGGTGCATGGCGGTGCGCGTGGTGGGGCCCGCGGGCGGCTGCGGCGGCGGCGGCAAAGGCGGCCGGGAAGAGGAGGAGGAGGAGCGGTTCGTGGTGCCTGTGGGGTACCTGAAGCACCCGCTGTTCGTGGCGCTGCTCAAGGCGGCGGAGGAGGAGTACGGCTTCGAGCAGAAGGGCGCCATCACCATCCCCTGCGGCGTCGACCACTTCCGCCGCGTCCAGGGCATCATCCACCACCAGCGGCACAACCACCACCACCACGGCTCCAGCGGCGGCGGAGGAGGAGGAGGACACCATGGCCACCACAGCAGCAACCACTTCCACATCGCCGGCTGCTTCCGCGCCTGATCGATCGGTCGGTCCACTCCGATCCATCCACCGCATGGATGGAAAGGGAGACCGATCGATCGATCGATCGATCGATTGATCGATCCATCCTCGCTCGTCTCTAGTGGACGGGACGGGAGGACGGATCGAAGAACAATAATAATATTTACAGAGCTTAATTATTATCTAGGGTTTTCTTCTTGGTTAGGATTTAGATGCAGGCCGCCGGGGATTGATCCATGATCGAAGGATCATGGTCGCCTCCTGCCTGCGATCGAGTCAGTGGTGGATCTATCTGCAGGATTGGTCGTTTGGACATACGGATCGATCGGTCGATGATGATATGTTTTTGGAGTTTTAAATCTCTCTCTCTCCCTCTTTATATCTTAGGTTTCTGATGATGATGATGATGAAAACAAAGAAGAGGAGGAAAATTAAAGTATGATGCATGCGTGTTTCAGTGCTAGTTAGACTTTATATGCTCTGTCCTCCTCGCTTCTCTCTTTCCCTGTTCTTTCACTTTCTTGCTTCTCTTTTGTGAATGCTCTTTCTTCTCTTTTGTGAATGCTAGCTAGTACCAGTTGTTGCTAGCTACTAGGCATATGTTGTCATGTACTATATCTTTCTGGTATAATTTCTCGGATTCTTCCTGCTGCCACTATTCTCTTACGATTGTCCGAAAGAGATGGGTGTCTCTCCGGCCTCATCATCTTCAAAGGTTGTTATTATTGGGTTCTAAAAAAATCCCGCAGTCCTCCTGCAAACAATCTAGTTTCTACAAAGTTTAGTTTGTTTCCATGCATGAGGGTTTGATCCTCTGTAGTTGTACCAAGCAATTTAAGGAGAAGATTAGTATCAACGAAAAAAAGAAACGTAAGAGACGGTGCCACAGCATATTTGGTAGAAGAAAGCTCCTTTTCATTCCCTCCTTTTGTCACATCTCTATTCTCCCCCAATCAAGCATGGGTTTAGTACGTGATGCATTAGTGCCGCCTAATCATTATTCTCTTGGACTTTCCGGACCGCTAGGCTACTACCACTACTTTTCTTTTTTGGATAATGGCTACTACCACTACGAGTACTAGTACTATGTGGTGCTAAGTGTAATCAGTGAGTAGCATGCATGCTTTGCTTTGCCGTCCAAGAGACAGCTACTAGTGGCATGCAATGCAACACGACAATATTCTTGTGAAGATTATGGCGTCATATATACATTTTCTTATTATGCTATGGAAGAACATGTGTGCACAGAGACCTGGTACTGCTACTGCTACTGCAACTGCAACCGTTCAGTCGGATCACCTGCTGGCTGCTGCATGCCTGCCTTGGCCAGAGCTCAGAGAAAGAGAAAGAGATGCTTGTTTAGATTCCAAGTTTTTTCACTCTCTCCATCACATCAAATCTTTGGACACATGTATGGAATATTAAATATAGATAAAAAATAACTAATTACACAGTTTGATTATAAATTACAAGACGAATCTTTTAAGCCTAGTTAGACCATAATTAAATAATAATTGTCAAATACAAACGAAAATACTACAGTGTCAAATACTAATTCCTAACCACGAACTAAACAAGGCTAGAGAGAGACAGACTACTCCTACTCCTACTCCTACTCCTAGGACATTCTAGTGTCAGAGAGACCTGCAGGGGCTCTGTCAGTCACGGTCAGGTATGTACTAGGGCGGCGCCGCATGTGGATTATCCGATCGATGAGCTATTTTTTTTATTTAAATCTCCTCCTCGTCCTCGGTAAACAAAACAGCTGTGCCTCCTTGTCCCTAGTGTCCAGTGGAGCAGTTTTCCCGGTGAATCGCTCTCGTTACCATCTTCTCTCAGCGGATGAAAACAAATCTTCTCTCGGCGGGTGAAAACGATGCCCCTCGTCCCTGTTGGTGAACATGACAAAAAGGAAGGCGAATGATGTGGACTGGCTTCTTCATGTTTTCGTCTCCCAACCCGTGTATATAGAATATTGTAAAACAAGTTTCACGTGTGGGGAAGAATAAAGGTGCTAGTTCTAGTCCGTCCAAAAAATACAATTCTTTCTATCTATCTATCTATCTATCTATCTATCTATCTGTGATTACAAGTCAAATAAATTATCTACAGTTTGACCAAAATTTGTAATAAAAATATAGTGATACTTATGATATCAGATAACATTTGTTAGATTTTTTGTGGAATATATTTTATAGTATACATATTTAGAATCGTAGTTGTTGCATGGTACCATTTTCTATAAATTTAGATTAATTTAAAATAGTTTGAGTTTGATCTAATTTAGTGTTACACTCCTTTCAGATGGAAGGAGTATTATGTTTGGACTCAGGGTGTACTTTTCATTCCTCCATCTGGATATCGATATCGATAATAATGTACACTTTTTTTACGAGTATATAATATAATATAATATAATATAATATAATATAATATAATATAATATAATATAATATAATATAATATAATATAATATAATATAATATAATATAATATAATATAATATAATATAATATAATATAATATAATATAATAAAAATATATTATATGATAATAGCACTTTTCATTATGAATTCATTAGTGATTATGTACAGTCATATTCTATAAAATTTCAGGTATCTTTGGTTAAAGCTATAATCGTTTGACTTAAAACAGATTTTAGTGGACTAACATTTCTGGTAACGAGATATAGCACTCCTTTATTCTCCCTACATCCATGCTAAAAGATTCAGGATTCAATATAGGAAGAACCTTCTAGCTAGCACGGTGATAGCTCTCTCCAATTATTCAATGTACGTAGACGTAGATTATATTGATCGGTCCCTCCATGACTTTCCATCACTCTTGGTCGTCGAGTTTATCCTGCAGGGTGTGTGATCGAATTCATAGCAGGTAGCAGGAGCAGGTGCTTGTGACGTGTAAGGGCCTTTCATGTTTTCCATGTTCCTATGTATGTAGGAGTATATGAAATACTCCTATAAAAGCATATATACACGGAATGTTTCTTTTTGAAAGTATGCAACTTGGTAGAAGCAGAACAGAGCAAGGGGTTGGTCGTCACCGAGACACACGGGCATCGAGCACCATGTCTTTTATATATCAAGAATTTTTTTTTTGAGTTTGTTGTAGCATGGAATTTATCACAGTTGGCACCTACGTATCATTTAACGAATTATCAAGTAAAACGGCCGCTTTAATTAGGATAAACTGTCATTTTCAAGGGGATGGGCGGCCATTGTGTAGATTGAAACGACGTTTAAGCAGGCTAAACACCCTTTCAGGTGAACAAATTTGACAGAAAGAATGTTCTGGGACCAGTGATAGCTCTATCCTCCAAATATTCACTCTGTGTTGATTGATCCATTCAGATGACTTTCCAACACTCTTGCGTCATGGAGTTTATCCTGGTCTGATAGAAAAAAAAAACGTATTCCAGATAGGTGTGTTTGTGACGTGAAAAGGTCTTGCATGATTTCCATGTTTCAATTGGAAGAAGTTATAATTTTTTTATAAAGGAAGATTCATTTATTAATTCACTATCATTACATCGAGTTCATACAATAATCATAAAGTCATTTTCGACCTCTGCATAAAAACACATAGTCTACACACAATAATAGACTAACCCGGTACTCTAAGGCCAGTCTTAGTGGAGGTTTTATGAGAGAGTTATATGGGTATTAAATAAGTTGATATATCATAGTATAAATAAAGAAAGAGATGATAAAAGTTCAATGGGATAAAATAAGTTTCACGAGGATAAAACTTGTTTATACTATTTTCAACACATTGGAGTCTCAGAAACTGAGACACGAAACCCCCACTAAGACTGGCCCAATCAATATACCATACCACACCTATTTGAAGTTGTAGCTACACACATAATGTCTTGTTTGGCTACACTTGTATCTACCTCATTCACATGTGTTAGGATAGATTGAAGTAGAAATTAATTTGATTTTCACCTAAATTTACTTCAACTCATGTGGGTTGAGAATTGAGATGCATACGAGTGTAGCCAAACACCCTTTCAGGTGAACAAATTCGACAGAAAGAATCTTCTGGGACCAGTGATAGCTCTCCCCAAATATTCACTCTGTATTGTTTGATCCCTTCAGATGACTTTCCAACATTCTTGGAGTCAAAGACTTCATCCTGGTCTGATAGAAAAGAAAAATGTATTCCAGAGAGGTGTTTCCGACGTGTCTTGCATGATTTTTTCCATGTTGAAGTTATATTTGTTTATAAAGTCAAAGATTCATTTATTAATGATTTTTTCTCATCACGCGACAACTTTATAGTTTTTTTTTTTTTTTATTTGAGGACAGTAAGATGCTCGAAAAAATAATATAAAATTTCAGCACCGTGATGAGACTCAAATTTCAAAAAATAGAAAACTCTTCAATACGATGTTAGATGAAGATAATTTTTATATGTAAATTGTAGACCTCGATGAGATCTATAACTTTATAGTTTTAATTTTTTTTCATTTGAGGACAGTAAGATGCTCGAAAAAATAATATAAAATTTCAGCACCATATTTTATCGCGTGATGACACTCAAATTTCAAAAAATTGAAAACCCTTCAATACGATGTCGGATGAAGATAATTTTTATATGTAAATTGTAGACCTCGATGAGATCTACAACTTTATAGTTTTGAGTTTTTTCATTTGAGGACGTTAAGATGCTCGAAAAAATAATATAAAATTTCGGCGCCTCTTGAAAATATCAAAAGTTACTATTCATCCACAAGAAAGTTGAACTTTTTCAAGAGTTGGAGGGCCAAAGTTGTCCGGTTTTGAAGTTCGAGGTTGAAATCCGGACTTTGGTAAAAATTGGACTTTACCCTTTATTAATTCACTATCATTACAACGAGTTAATATAATAATAATCGTGAACTTACTTCTGACCTCTACATAAAACACATAGTGTTTTTTTTTTGCGAGTAATAAAAACGCATAGAGTGTAAAAGAAGAGCCTATAGTACTCTAACAAATATACCAGACCACACCTAT